CTAGTCACAATAGCGTAAGTGTATATGTATGCAAATTTCGAAAAATAAATAAACTGTTAATTGTGTTTTCTTGTCGTCATTACAACGTATGAGAAACGACACAAATTGGACAACCCACTTAGGCGACCATTACTCGTTAAGAGATGCGTTTACATATACCCAGTGTGTCGGCAATAACGTGTAAAAATCGAAGTCAGAAAATTGATTGCAAAGTTCTAGATTGATTTGGACTAAATAAATAGCATTACTACGACAAAAATGCCAATGAATATTGCTAAGTTACATGACTTTAAATCTAAATAATAAAATAAATCTTTAATTGTTGTAAATTAAATGCATGTGATTTACTGCTTTATACTCTACAAAAACATATTTATACTGGTTCTTATCATCTATTTGTATTATTCTTCCAAAAGATAAACGCAGTAATGCAGAATTCTACGAGTATTTTTATTTTAATATATTTTTTTTATACTCAAGTTCACATAAACAGCACAAAAGCAAATATTTCAACTCTGATAATAATTCGATTCAATAGTCATATAATTACATTTAATAATTACATTCAACAAAAATAATTCTATATTTAAACAAACAACAGCATGTTTCTTATATCGTAATTAACGAAGAATATCTTCGGAGCAAAACTCAAACCATAAATATTCGTACTAATTCATAAATAATAGAGTTATTACATAAAAAAAACAAGTAAGTATACATTATCATACGCTACAAAGTGAGAATAAAGACAGTATAGTTTCAAAACTATCACTTTTTTACTTGATAATTGAGTTACTGTTTTTACATTTAACAAGGTGAAACAATAACTATTTTTGTTAAATGACGTGATCAAAAATCGCTCATACTTCTTTTTTTTTCTTGGAAGTGTCCTGATTATTTTTGAAAAAAAAAATAGAATAAAAATTGTACTAATTTTTTTACATCCTTGTGGCTAGTTCAAATGGAATACCTTGTGCCGAAACATAACCATTTATGAAGTAAATGCACAGTTGATCTACCTGATACCTTTTTTTTTTTTTTAGAACGGACCCATGTCAAGAATCTCAGCTTCTGATCTGATCCCCTGTGTTGGCAATATAAATTTCCACAGCTAATTCCATAGTTTTTCCGAATAATGAATGTTCCTGGAAACTGTCTATACAGGCTGTTTCAGTTTATTGTTGCATAACTTCAAGATTCGATTGAACTTTTAAAATTAATGAATAAAGTCTATATAAACATGGGTCGAAAAATGCGTGGCTTCCGAAATACAGGGTGTTAAATTTACTTTCTAAATAGTTTTTTTTTTAAATATTTTGAACAATATTTGATGTATAACAGTGAAAATTGG